ATTTCTCTGATCGTCGTTAGCCCATCTGTGATTAGGCTTTTACTACTCTCTCCCCAGTTTTCTTTCCTCCCACTGGGAGCTAGTTGAAGGACCGGGTCGTGGTGATTCAAGGCAACCATTGATTTTCAATTCTGAGATATTTCTCAATGAGGTTGTAGAAGCGAGTGAGGGAAATATCATCCTTAGATTGTAGTTTCTTCTACAGGTCGGTTTGCAGGCGAACTCCTTGTAATAATAGGGTTCGAACTGACTCTTTGGGTGTTATAGCCACCTCATTCAGCTTCCTATGAAACTTGTCAATATAGCGCTTGGAAGGACTCATTCCTCTCCTGCTGTATATTGCTTAATAGCTCCACCACTTGAGAACTTCTTATTAGCTTGGAAGTGTCTCAGAAATACACAACTCATCTGCTGTCATGATTTAATAGATCCAACAGAAGCGATCTAAACCACGCTTGGCGTGGGCAATTAGAGTCATTGCTAAGCAGTGACATTTTGCCAAGTTAGAAAATTGTGTGAAGCTCCATGAGGTCGGTAAACTCATAGAGATGATCTTGGGGATCAGAATTCCCATCGAATGCTCGCATATCGGGCTTCTCCCTTGACGGAGAGGAGCAGTCAACACGTTGGAGAAAAAGTAGACGCCTTAGTACTTTCCCTCGCTCATTTTGCTGAGCTCTAATTTGATCCAAAGCTCGTTGTAACTCCTCAATCTGAGGAATCAGAGTTACTTGGGGATCACTTTCTGTAACGTGGTTCGCCCCTCACGATTGCAATTGAGAAAATACTGCAGGTCAAACTCTTCCTCACCTAGGCCGGAGCCTCCTGCGTACATTGCACACACTCGGCTGGAGCCTTGTGAAGGCATTGAATGGCTAAGGGAGTTACCCTGACCTCCACGGTGGTCAGAACCAACCTGCGGATGGTGGGCATTTCCCTCGCGGTATGGTTGTACCTTATGTTGGCGATAATGGAATCTCCCTACCTTGCACTCTTGTGGGGGTGCCCATGCGATGTGGCGTGGGATGGTTCATGATGCGACATACTGCCAAGTCGCAAAGCCATAGGTATTTTACCTGCTTCGACCAGTATTCGCTAGTCTCTTAGAGCCCTTTGGCCCATTTTTTGCCACTTACTTTCCCTTATCTTTATGCACTGTAGTGCACGTGACATAGGCCTTTCGCCCGTTTCGTGCTTTAGCGCGACCTACAGCGACTTCGGTGGCAGTACCGCTTGTCAGAATTGGGCGGTACGACCTGATCCACAATCTAGCTTTCACTGACTGTTTGAAAAGTATTGTTGAACCTCTCCAGGTAATTCATCACAGCTGGGTCGAGCTATGAGCTCGAGGGAATATTCTCGCGGTACCCTACAGAATTGGAGGTACTTCGAGAGAAGTATCATCCTGTACCCGAGGGATCTCCTTATTGCTGGTGCTAGCTTGCTCGGTTTCAAGACCACGAGCCATTTGTTCGCGAGTAAAACTGATTGATCAGAGATTCCTGATAAAGAGCGGATACTAAATCACCCTCATACTAGCATCAAACTGTTGATGCTTGATTTTGACCCCACCGACTCGCACAGGCAAGATGCTAAGCTGTTCTTAGAAATTGCACATGAGATTGGGATAATCAATGCAAAGACTAAACAATAAATGAGAGATGGTTTTTAAAGTGGTTCATGCTGAAAGCGATCCTACGTCCACTGTTCTTTTAGATAGGAGAGATCAAAGGTCTCATATAGCAACGCAAGCAGAGGTACATACTGAGTATTAAATAGAATATCAAGTCGTCTCTTTCTCGTAGGTTATCTTTGCTTTGAAAGTTAAAGATTAAAATCAGACTGTGGGTTCAATATTGAATCTCGAGAGAGGGGGAGTCCTCTATTTATAGTAAAGGAATCAAGATAATGATTACAAATCTCATGTGGGTAGGTGTCGTACAAGTTCTTCCTTGCCTCTCATTGCTGGTAACTTAGGAGATATTCTTAAATTACTTGGAGCTTGGACAAGGTGTGACTCTCATTCACTCATAGACAAACCGGATATGCCAAGTTGATGACAACCATATTCTTCCTGTTATGAGCGACTTGCAACTCCTGGACGACGTAAAGCCTTCCTGACTCTGATTGGTGCCTGCTGATGTTAGCTCTGATTTTAGGCATAACAGTATCAAATCAAAGTTTTTTTTGTTCCGTTGCAACTCGTATGGATTAAAAATCCCAACAAATTTTACATCAAGTTAATCTCATTGAAATGTCATGTTATATTAATGTTGATTTAGTCAATGTTATTACATCATATGATACGTATTATTTACTGTATATATATCTAACCAAATCCAACTCTCTCTCTCTCTCTCTCTCTCTCATATGTTCCTCAAAATCCGACTTGTGCGGATTCTTCCCCCAACTAACGAAGAGATCTTGACGGAATTATATATATATATAATATATATATATTATATATATTATATATATATATATATATATATATGCGTATGACAGTCAATATAGAAGTCACAATCAGATGGTGACGCCCGTTATATCTAGCCATTGAAGTTTGAAGTTGAAGGCTTTATTCTATGAATAGCTTGGAAATTGAAATTTTGTACATCATGATTGAAACCTAAGGGTCTGCTTGGGAGTTTTATGGTAGCGGTTTTGAAGGTAAACCACCGTAGCGGTTTTGAGGAGTTTTTAGTAGCGGTTTTTAAAACACTCAACCTATGCTTGAGAGTTTATTTTCCAATGGTTCTGACAGTTTTTTAAAATGATAAATTTACATATATGCCCATAAAAATACCCGAACTTTAACCAGTATTTGGGAGTTTTTTTTTTCAATTACCAATACTTAGTATCAAAGTTCCTTCCAAGTTTAATTTATTTGTAAGTTCTTTCATTGTATATTATTTAATTCATCACACAATCATTCAAAATCTGTCATTTTAAGAGAATAAATATGCTGCCACAATGTTGGACTTCGCAAATTATCAATATAACAGCCGCAACAGCATTTCTAAAAAATAGTTTTTCATTCTTTTCTTCAATCAGTGAAGGAAAGCCATAAAAAACAATATTTATTTAACAAACTGACAAGGATTCAATCAATCACCTAAACGCAAATAAAAAGAATCAAATAGAGGAAAAACAACCTAATTTTGTAAAACAACTGGTAAAGAAATGCAATTAAATTGCATACAGCCTGCAGAGCAGTTTACCAGATTAAAAGAACAAAAAGTTGAAGGGGAAAATGAAGAAGAAAGAAAGAAAAACCTTCATATCTCTAATGAAGGATTAGAAAGCCTAAGATAAAAGATTCAAAAGTATTGTAACAGTCATCTAAAAGTTGAAGATTGAATGGGGTTTGAAGAAATTATTAAACCAGCAAAGGAATTATTGTATATAAATAATAGTGGAAAGGGGTTTTTTTGGGATAAAATTTTTAAACCAACCAAAACACCTCGATTTGGGGTGTTTTATAAACCTCTCAAAAATACACTACACTGGTTTTGAGGGGTTTTTAAACCAGTAAAAACCAGTCCATAAAAAATCTGACAAGTAATGATTTTTAAACACCTCAAAACCAGTCTAATTAAAAACCCCCCAAAACCAGTGAAAAAAAACTCACAAGCAGACCCTAAGGGTCCATTTGGCACACTACTTTCCCTCTATCTTATCCTAAAAACCCAAAAATGCATTTGTTTTAATATTCTTAAAATTCAATCATATTCTATTTAACTCAAAATATTTAGATTATTTTTAACCCCCCTAGGTTTGTTAGTTTAACTAAACACCCCCAATAATAAAAATTTATAAATTGACAAAAACACTCCCACCCATCCACATATTACCGACAGTCGGCCACTACCGCCGAAGGTGGCTAGAATGGTGCACGACCAACTGAATCTAGACGGTCGTGCACCAATTTGGCCCTTTTGGCCAAATCTACTATGAATATGATTGGAAAAGGCCAAATTTACGACCAAAGATCTAGTTGTTGACGACGGTCATATTTTGGCCATCAATGACGACCAAAGATTCGGCCGTCAACGACGACCAATATATGACATTTTCTGGCCAGATCCACAATGAATCTAGCCAGAAAAGGCTAGATCGGTGCACTACCAGCCAAATCCAACCGGTCATGCGCCATTTCGACAGATTTCGGCCATCTTTTAGCGGTGGTGGCTGGCTGCGGGCAATATGTGGGTGGTTTGAGATGTTTTGTTAATTTATAAACTTTTATTGTTAGAGATGTTTAGTTAAATTAACAAACCCAGGGGGTTAAAAATAATATAAATATTTTCAGAAAATGCTATTCAGAAATATACAAAAAAACTTCTGAATCCTATCCAATTTTCCAAAATTGCTAAATAGCATAGAATGCTATTCTAAATAACTAACCAGACGGAGCCTAAATCATCTAAATTATTGAAATTAAAACACAATATCGTTTATATACATTAACCCAACAATTGATAAATCAATAACTTGTAAGAAAAGAAAAAACGAAAGAAAGAGCAATTATCCCTTTGTATTGAATGTCATAATCATTTAAGATAAGTTATCCCATATATTATTATAATTATTATACAATAATAACAGGTCAAAAATTTAAACGATATGGCTGATTTTCGCCCTCACATCTGTTCTATATGATATATACAAGTATGTTCAAAGTATTACTATACCAACGCCGTTCGTCCTCAGCTATTGTCTCAATCAAGGGCCAAAGATGATGACGAAAATATAAAGAATTTATTTAGCGTGAAATTTATCTTTAACTAATTAGATCTTGTCTTCATACTAAATTAAGAGCTAATTTAAAATATAATCAAAATTCTCCAATATATTATGCTATCTAAAATGTTTGTACATACACATGTAAAACGACACCACTTTTACTAATTTGCTACAGTAAAAGACTTGGTCATCCCCTCACCATGACACCCTGAAACTTACTTTGTGCCCACCCACTAACACCACCACCAGTCCACCACCACACAACACATGTTTCCGTACTCGTTGACCAAGACCGTTTAGCCGTGACCTAACTCAACTCCACTCCTCACCCGCTTGTGACAATATATCAAAGTCACGCCTCTTGTCTTCGAGCAAGATATCCCGGCAACGGACTCGCACGTGGCGACCTCAAAGGCACCTCGCTCAGCTGCTTCCCCCTGTTGTCATAATAAATTACACCCGAGAAATCCAACGGCTGACATTTATCCCCCATCAAAATCGCTCGTTGCCAGACCCCACCATCCCCGAACTCCTCCTCCCGGGACACGCGGAAATTCATCTCATCGTCCTTCTCCTCGTCGACCTTTTTCTTGTGCATGAAATTGATAGCCTTGTTGCTTATCGTCGTCATGAGCTGCTTTGGCCGGGCCCTTAACGGGGATTTCGAACTAGGAGCAGGACTCGGAGGAACCGATAAAGAAGTATTGTAACTTCTCTCTTTGTAAAATTTTTTGCTAACCGGCTTCGCTTTGAGCTTACTCGAGACGCGACTGGCGTGCTTGGCACACAGAGCCATGAGGGAGGAGATGGTTATGAGGAAGGTGGCGGAGTGCCGCTTCGGTGAGGCGGAGCCGGCGCCGTGTTCGGAGGAAGCTGGGACCATCTTGAATTTTTCAGCTTGGTGGTTTTTTTTTTTTATTAACAACTGAAACCCAAAAAAAATGGCAGGTAAGGTTGTGTTGGTATGGTGGTTAATTGTATTTATAGGTGACTAATGGGTTTAGGTGACGGGTAATAACTGGTGACAATTAATTTGACAGTTGACTTACTTGTTTAGATTTTAGATTCTTTAGAATATGAATTTAATAATTGAATATTTGAAAATGATAATTTATAATTAATTATGTAACCTCTTAAAAAATAATAAATAATTTCTAATAATATATTTAGGTTTTAAATATTTTTTTTTCGGTTAATTAAAATCTGAAAATTTTTGACGGCTATGAATTTAAATTTAATAAAATAATTTAGTTGATTGATTGCACAATTAAAGGTAGAGATTTTATGAAGGGTCTAACCATCTAAGTTTTCAAATATCGACACATCTATAAACGAATTTGATTATATTAATTAATTAATAACCACTAATTAAAGATTAACACCTTCTTAATCCTAATTAATAAAAAATAATATTTTTTAATTAAAAGATTTTAATGGAAGCTCATCTGATAGCTAGTTGCAGATAAAGTCTACACGCGTGAGAAGCACGGGATCACGAAATTTTCCACGTGTCGTGCAGTGAGGGGCATGCGGTAGAGTCAGCGGCAGATGGCGGTAAGTTATGAGGTCTACGTAGACTTGGCCAAACTCTTAGATTTTATTCATTTTGCTAAGTAGTGGGGCGTGGCAAGGAAAGTGCGCGTGGCCCCCATGATGACTCACTTTGCAACTTGAAATTTGTGTGTCTTGTACTTCTCTTGGGCCCATAGTAAGGACAGGATGGCCTTATGGAGCAGCACTCCCCTTCAGCTGATGCTAGGCCTCCTGTTCCTCCTCCTCCACCCCATAACCACCACAACAGGTATTCGTGTCAACACAGCTGTTATTCATCGACCTTCGCGCATCTCTTACATGCCTGAATTTCGCGAAGCTCCCGCCTTTCGCAATGGTGATGAATGTGGTTCACAGGATGCTCATCGTATTCACATTGCCATGACCCTTGATGTCAATTATCTTCGTGGTACAATGGCAGCTGTATTCTCAATGCTGCAGCACTCAATCTGCCCTGAAAACTTATCATTTCATTTCCATTTGGCTCATTTCGAACCCCAACTAGTTTTCAGCGTCAAATCAACCTTCCCTTACTTGAATTTCAAGATTAATCGTTTCGACTCCAACAGGGTTCGCGGGAAGATATCGAAGTCTATTAGACAGGCTTTGGATCAGCCTCTAAACTATGCAAGAATCTATCTGGCTGATATTATGTAAAAAATGTGAAATGGGTTATTTATTTGGATTCTATTGATGCTTGATTTTGACACCAACGACTCGAACGTACAAAGTGTTAAACTACTCTTAGAAATTATACGTGAATAATTGTAATAATCGATTGCAAAGACTAAATAATAAATGAGAGATGATTTTTGAAGTGGTTTGGATGCTTAAAACAAATCATACGTCCACTGTTCTTTTATATATGAGAGATTACAAGAGGTCGCATATAGCGGACAGTGAGCAAAGATACAATAACTGAGTATTTAAACAAAATATCAAGTTAGTCTCTTTCTCACAGGTTATCTTTGCTTTGAAAGTTAAAGATTATAATTAGAATGTGGGTCCAGTATCAGAATCCCAAAAATGTGAGGGGGAGTCATCTATTTATAGTAGAGGAATTCAAAGTAATGATTACAAATCTGTAAGTGGATAGGTGCTGTGCAAGTCTTTCTTTGCGTCCCTTTGGCTGATAACTTAGGAAATATTCTCAAATTACTTAGGGCTTGGACAGGTGTGCGGCCCTCATTCACTCCTAGACAAAACCTGAATCTGTCAAGTTGGTGACAACTATATTCTTCCTGTCTTGGGGCAATATGGCAACTCTTGGACGATGCAAAGTCTTCTTGAACTCTAATCGGTGCTTACTGATGTAAGCTTACGTCAGCCCTGGCTTTTTAGGCATAACAGAAGCTCCCTAGTTTTTAAGGTTCAAGAATTGAATCTTGAGAACTTAATGATTATGTCGCAACCTAACTTGTTACGAGGAGTATTTGCCTGAACTATCAGTTGAGGATAGCCATACTGTTACAAACGACGTGAGGCTGATGGCTTAACTCGACTAGCGAACTGAATAAAGGTCGTGACATGGATCCTCGAGAGTTACACAAACGACCTGAGGTGATTGCTCTGAAAGGTTCAACAACCCATGGCAGATATTGCTCAGTGCTATAAGGATGTGTTTTGAACTCTATCTGACTTTCGTGATCTGAAAACACTTAAGACATTTTGTTGTCACAAGTTGAGAACCATTTCGCTTCGAGTTTGACACGAGGAGAATAGTATTTTATTCGAACGACCTTTTCAGATGTTATCTGTTGTGCTTGATAGTTGTTTAGGTCAATAAAATAAGCTTTATCTGACAAACTTGTCTCTGGGTAATAAATGTCAGCCATGAGCATTAAATGCAAGCCATGTTGAAACGACATTCTCTTTTGAAGCATTAAATGCGGATGAGGGCGCATTTAATGTGGAGGAGATAATCACGCCGACGTTTGGCGATTTCAATGAGGGGAAATGCCGGTTGATCTCCACGAATTGTGACGGTTACTTTTCACGTAGATTGATGACACGTGATCACGATTAACAGTTGTTAACGCGTCCCGCCCAAATGCTGCTTATGAAAGAAACCAAGCGTCGTCTCCTATAAAACCCTAAGCCCATTTCAAGTTTTTCACAAAACTTAAACTTTTAGAGAGAAAAACAATGTTTTTACACTCAAGAGATTAGTTCATCCTCTTCTCGGTTGATGTGCACTCGTCGCTACGATAGAACATCCATTCCCAGCAATCAAGAGGTAAAAAAATTCTTCTCTTTTGCTCTTATCATTCCTGTTAAAAAACTTAGTTTTTACAGTAATGGTGAGTGTAAATGTCTGGTAGATTTAGACAGTGAACATCCTCGGGTAGTGTTTAAAAAGGAACACTCTTAAGAGTTGAAACCTAGGGCGTAGATCTTTAGAATATCACCCTTAAGATTTTTTAGGGTTTTGGCAGTTATAGAAGAGAAACCAAGGTTTCTTTTACTCTTCTGAGTCGTCATACGGGGTAATGTAAATGGAGACTAAGTCACCTCTATATGTCGCACATTTTCAGACTCTAAGAGCGATAGACATCCCTAAGGCGATGACAACTGGAGAGGGAAGCTCGCAACCATCGAGCACCTTAGTAGGTTCCGAGCAAGTGGGACGAACAATAGTTACGAAGGATGAGATACAAAAAGCGATAGACCAATACGCAATCTGTGTAAACATCTTCCAACACATGTCACACACTGCTCAAGATCCTCCCAAGGGAATGGCTGCAAATCTCGAAAGCGATCTTCAAATGTAGAGTGAGGATACCCCTCCACCCCTACATCAGGCCAATCCTCGATCACTTTCAGGTCCCACCATTCCAACTGACACCAAATGCGTATATGATAGTGGTCACTATGTATATCGCATTTGGCGAACACAACCTCGGCGAAGCCAACAACAATGGAACTCGGCTGTGCCTATCACCTAAAGAAGATTAAAGACAAAGATTCATATTACCTCTCCAAGTGATTAATGATTAAAGGAGGGATATTTGGTTACCCCAGCAACGTCGGGGCTTATGAAACCAAGTGTTTCTTCTTCGAATATGATGGAGTTTGTAAATTTAAGGAGTCGAGTAGGCTTTCCTTTTAATTTTAAGACTGCTTATCCTTTATCTTTAACTCTTCCTTAATAAATAAGGCTAATTAATTTTTTGCTTACTTGCAGAAAACAAAACGACCAAATTGTCGGTGCTAATAGACTTCAGCTGCATCGAGACCTTTGGTCGATTGCCTGACTAGAGTCGCAACACGAAGCTGCTCGTGACTACCACCAATCTTTGAAAGTCCGGGTTTTTTAGTCCTGAGGCGTCTTTGGAAGCTTCAGCTCGTAAGTATTTCTCATGCAGAAAAACCTTAAGTCCTTGTTAACAAAAGAAGACTTTCTTTATTGATGCCTTTTCATGCCATGTAGCAACTATGCCACCAAAGGTCCCGAAGACATTGAAGAAACCTAGGGGGTTTACATTCCCTAGGATTAACCCGACTAAACCAGTTGGAGCGACCTCTAGCGATATCCCAGTGAGGGGGATACGATTTAATGCTGAAAGGCAACAACCCTCTAAGTGACACGAGGAAGCTCCCCAGCCTGCGGCTGTTGACATTTTGAAGAAGAAGACCATGGGCCAGAAGACTAAGAAAAGAAAGAAAATACTCACCAAAGAAGAAACTAAGCCTGAACCAGAAAGCTTTGGGGTATTGCAAGACAGGCTTCAGCCTTATTAAGTCTTCTCAGCGGGGACGCCTTCAAGGGATGCTCCCAGGACTTTGGCTACTCCCAGGAGTTCGCAAAGGGAAGAAGGATCGACCATGACTACTCAAGGGGAAGCAGACGAGCAACGGGTCGAAGGGCCTCCTGCTCCCACTAGGCTAGACCCGTCTGTGTTGGATCTACTAGGGCAACTACTAGACCATTTACGACCGGTGGTTTACACCCTCTTAGAATGTCAACTTGCCACAACCTTTGACAGGTTCGTGGCTTCTCGACCCACCTACTTGGTAACCATTATCCTTAAAATGTAAAGTCGGGTAAAATGACTTGCTCTATTTGAGAACTCTTCCATACAAGTCGACCTCTTAATTTTTTAGGATCTAAAAAAAAACTAACTTTTTATTCCTTTTCCATGTAGTCTTTGCTCGCCCTGAATGTGGCCTAACAGAAGATGAAGATCAATTCTGCTGGAAAACTCCACAAATTAATGGAAGAAATTGCAAAACTGAAGCAAGATCTCGCGACTTCAGATGCATAGGCAAAAACTTCCCACATTCAGGCGAACGTGTACCTGACAAAAAGGAATTTTGCTTTGCGAGCAACTGACTTTCAGAAGACCGAGCTGAGAAGAAAGATGACGATAACAAGGAGCTTTAA